AATAGACTTAAAATAAGACCCAAAACTCAAGTACTTTAGAATAGTTGACTATTCTTCTTTGTTCTCCTGAATGAACAACTTTAGGATATCATTATGGAAAGCTTTATAATTTTGTAGCTAAATATTTAGATAAATATGTAACTTATTATTAGGCTCATTCATTCCATAATACGTTATTTTGCAATAATGTTTTTCTACAAAAATTGGTAGGTCATCATACCATTTTTTTCATTAAGAAAAAGAAAACTTACTATTTTTTTCTCTAGTTTTATAAGTACAGTTTCTATCTTTTTTGTCTCATTCAATAAGGAAAACATATAATTTCTCTGATGTAATGATAAATCTTACTATCTTTTTGTCCATTTTTCCTACCATCACAGCATTTATCCCCATGATGTCATCATCTTGTGACAAATAACTTCTGTTGTTGGTTCCAGCTGGAACTAATAGAGATCCATTGAACAGATTGATAGTAACATATAGCACAACACAGTAATACAATGCAAACTATGTTAAACATATCTTTACTGTTATGCTGGTTATGTAGTGTACTTGTATGATATACAAGAATGATCAGTTTAAGTTATTATTTAGCTTATTTAGTGATCTAATATTAAATGATTATTTAGTTTCATAACAAGTGTTATAAGTTAATTATTTTAAAAGTGATAGTTATGACAAGTTTTTTACATAACTCTGTACGAGTTATGTGTTGTGTATGTAGTTTAATTGTTGTACTAGGCTTTTGTAATACCGTTGATGTTATGTTACTCGAAGCTTCTTTGTTTTTCTCATTATGTGTCATACTGTTGTTGCTAGAGGGCTAGATATTTCTAGATTTTTCTGTCATGTGTTATAAGTAACTGCAGATACAGAGAGTAAGTTAAGTTAGTGAAAGTATAAATGAAGTTAGACTGCATGATTGTCAGTTTAGCCATAATAGCCAATTTCTAAAGTGAGTTTCACAGCATTTATTGTAATAAAGAGATAGAGGAGAATAATTTGTCTTGTCAAAGAGTATTTTAAAGTGATTGAACCCACTTGTGTGGACTTTGACAAAAAAGAAACAATTACTTAAGGCTCTGGATACAACTGTGATACCAATAGTGTAACTTATTTTTGTACATATGTTTGACTTGTTTTGAATATATTATTTTAAAACAAATGGATTGTGTGTTGTCCATTTATTGTTAAAATTTATCACAAAAAAGTCACAGATACCTACTGTAAAGAATCCTGCCCATCCCAGCCCTATAAAAACCTAACAGTATTACAGCACAATACAGTAATACAAAAGAAACTATGGTAAACATAGGTTCTTTGTTGTGCAGGTTATGTAGTGTATTATAGTACAACACAGTAATACAGTAGAAAATATGCTAAACATAGGTTGTGCAGGTTATGTAGTGAATTATAGTACAATACAGTAATACAATAGAAACTATGCTAAACATAGGTTGTGCAGGTTATGTAGTGTATTTTAGTACAACACAGTAATACAGAACAAACTATGCTAAACATAGGTTGTGCAGGTTATGTAGTGTATTATAGTAAATACAGTAATACAATAAGAACTATGCTAACCACAGGTTCTTTGTTGTGCAGGTTATGTATATATATAGTATAGTACAACACAATAATACAGTACAAACTACGCTAAACACAGGTTCTTTGTTTTGCATGTTGTATAGTATATTATAATAATAGAATATTGTGTTATGCATTACACAGTACAAGAAAGAAAGACACTTTAAACTGTACTATGATGGTGAAATTTATCGTCACATACCTTATAATGTTAAGTCTTATTTTCTGTTTCATTTTATTAACGAAAGCTATAGATAATGTTTTCATCTCACCACTATCCTGGGTGGATACATAGTTTTCAAGGGCTAGATTCTTCAACTTCACAATGTTGCTAATTGTTGTGCTGCTGTTGATATCTTCCTTAACTATAATTTCCAGTAAGTTTAGAGCTTCGTCAATGTAAACATTGTTTCCAGGATTTGCATTTATACTGAAAATACACCAATAATCAACTTCATCTGGTCATTTCAAGGTAAAATGCATCTTTAATTACAAGAAAATCTGTAAACTTACACAGTGCTAGTGATAAAAATATATAAATTCAACACTGTATTTCAAATCTCATTTATTAGCTAATTTTAAGGGTAAATCAACCATCACAAAATACCAAAGAAATATAAGTTAAGAATATTGATATGTTATTTCAGTAAGTTATTTATGAAATAGTAGAAGAAAATAGTTGCTAAATGTAGCATATTAACATTGATTATAACTTATACTGTCTGAGGTTGGTAAGTTAATTATCATACATTGTTGAGAGCAGGATTCTTGTTCAGAATTATAAGGCATTTTAAATGTTTAACAGCATCTTGTTCTCTGAACTTCCACTTACAATAATTTTAAACGTACATTAGACACTAAAACAAGTAGTTCATGAGCACATTTTAAGGAATACTTGAATTATTATGAATTTTAGCATCACTGTGTTTTTTTATCCTCTCCCCTCATTTGAAGATGATATAAGCATCCTCACACGTTGGGCAACAAAAACTACACAGCTTCTATGTTGAAGACTAATCATATTTTAAACTTGGGGCAGATTTTGAAGTTTCACAAAAGCTTTGAACTTGGTTTATGGAATGACTCCTCTCATGACTATATTCAATTCCTTCTTGATCTCAACAGAATGAACACCAGTGTATGGGAGAGATATGAACACCTGCATTTTAGGGATGTCAAAATTTGAAACTCAATAGTAAGTTCAACAAAACTTATTGGAAAATAATTCATGTTCAAAATTGATTTTAATCCATTCATGCTTGAAAGAAGAACTCAGTCAAGTCATCGTTTGAGCTTTTCTTTAAAGATGTAAGTAGTTAAGAGTACTAGCGGACTGGCAAAATAAAATTAATAACAAATACAGTATTTACAGTACTAGAATTTATGGTAAACTAAAATCAATAAACAATACAGTAGTTACAGTACTACCATTAGTGGTAATCTAAAATCAATAAACAATACAGTAGTTACAGTACTACAATTAGTGGTAAACTAAAATTAATAAGAAATACAGTAGTTACAGTACTACAATTAGTGGTAATCTAAAAGTAATAACAAGTATATTAGTTACAGTACTACTATTAGTGGTAAAACAATTATTGTTAAACTAAAATCAATTACAATTACAGTACTTACAGTACTACCATTAGTAGTAATCTAAAATTAATAACAAATACAGTAGCTACAGTACTACAATTAGTGGTGAATTAAAATCAATAACAAATACAGTAGTTACAGTACTACAATTAGTGGTAAATTAAAATCAGTAAGAAGTACAGTAGTTACAGTACTACCATTAGTGGTAAACTAAGATGTTTAGCATAAAGACGTATAATTTATTTACAGTCTAGGTTATAAATTAAGGTTCAGAGATCATGAATAAAATCTGAGTTCATTGTTTTATATGCTTTTTTGGTGAAAGAGGATCTCCGACCATAGTGATTAATGACCCTAGAGCAGTAATTTCAACATAAGAAAATGTTTCGTGAATTTCTTCCATTTTAAGAATATTAAAAAGTTTGTAGCAGAGCTTTTCTCTTTTTTGCTTCTCAAACTGACAAAGTTGCAGAAATTCACCCAAATAAATATCTTGGTCATAACAGTTGAGCTTCTGCAATATCACTGTGGGTCACAACTGTAGATTTTGTTAAAATCATTGTAGGTCATACCTGAAGATTCTGTTAAAATCATTGTGGTTTATAGGTGAAGATATTGTTAGTTCTATTGTGGGTCATACTTGAATATTATGTTAGTTCTATTGTGGGTCATACCTGAAGATTCTGTTAATTCTATTGTGGGTCACACCTGAAAATTCTGTTGGTTCTATTGCGGGTCATTCCTGTTGGCCTTCAAGACCATGGTATTTATTTCTAAACATGCTCATTAAAATATATATAGTAAATAATACACAATGGTCAATCCAGCCTATAACACCACCTAACAAACCCACATCTAGTAGAACAGGTTCATTTTATATTATCTATGAACCTTCATAAGATAATATGTGACGTGCCTAACTACAAAGTAGAACAGGTTCATTTTATATTAGCTATGAACCTTCATAACATAATATGTGACGTGCCTAACTACAAAGTAGAACAGGTTCATTTTATATTAGCTATGAACCTTCATAACATAATATGTGACGTGCCTAACTACAAAGTAGAACAGGTTCATTTT